TATATAGACATATATAGATACATTGTATTTTCATATATATATATATATATTTATATGTACCATTTTTTGTTTGTATATCTGTGCGGATGTCTGAGTAGTCATCCACTGTATACACATAAATGAAAGGTTCTTTGTGTATATTGTTTAAGCATAAAAGCATTTCTAGTAGAAACCTCTTTAGCCTATTGCCTGTTCATACCGTTACACAATCAATCATCTTCACACCACAGGTCGGCCGTCCCATCATCTCAGCCATTTTGCGATGTCTCTCAAACCAATCGCTCTTGGATGGACCCGAGCCCCAACCAGATGAGAACGAACGATATACTTCAAATGCAGAAGGTACCCCACACACACCTGAAGCCGTCCAAATACAAGTCAAGGCAAACTCGCTGCTACCCCTGACTGTAGCGGAGCATATTATAAGCCGCGCCAAAGATGTATTCAGTACGGAGGCGAACGTGGTGCGTGTGCAAGCGCCGGCCACGGTCGTGGGCGACATACACGGACAGTTCGGTGATTTGTTGAGGATATTCGATATACACGGACAGGTACGAGACCGGCCTGTGCGCGCTTGTGGCACGTCAGCAGCTGGTGTCTCTGGGTCTGACGACGCGATGTTTGGTTCGGGAGGGGCGGCGGGTGTTGAAGACCGGGATGACGATGAGGATTACAGCCGTTGTCCACAGTATGTGTTCCTGGGGGACTATGTGGATCGGGGTTACTACTCGTGTGAGGTGGTGTTGTACCTGTTCACACTCAAGATAGCGTATCCTCAGCGCATATGGATGCTGAGAGGGAACCATGAGACCAGGTGCATGACCACCAAGAATTTTGGGGCCGAGGGCGTCAATTTTAGGACAGAGTGTGTGGCGAAATACGGCCTGGCGCTGTACGAGAAAATCATGTCTTGCTTTGACTACCTACCCATCTGCGCAGTCATTGAGAATGGTATCGCGGGGAATGAGGGCATCCCATCCGGTGCACATGGCAGCAGAACCGGGACAACCAGCATAGATAGCAGTGGTGAGAAAATAAGCGGTGGTGTTCCAGGTGACGAAAGTGCTCCGCCCAAACAGTGGCAGCGCTTCTTCTGCCTGCATGGAGGGTTGTCGCCAAAACTGAAGACACTGGCAGAGATCGATGCCATCCCACGCACTCAAGAGCCCCCACTCAAAGGTATGAAGAAGACCATGTATGTAGCTGTTTCAATACGACCATGTATGTAGCTGTTTCAATACGACCATGTATGTAGCTGTTTCTATAAGACCATGTCTGTGGGTGTATCGTTTGCTGCTAGTTGTTGCGTTCTGTTCTGTTGTAGTAGTATTCTCAATACACATCGAACGGCTTTTAACACTGGTGTCATATCCTTATGTAATATCTCGAGGGTAGCTGTCATGTCAAGTCACACGCCCGCCCTCATCGGCCGGTGATGCTCTACCCACCATATCTGCTGGTGATTGCAACAGCACAGTGATTGCAACAGCACAGTGATTGCAACAGCACAGTGATTGCAACAGCACAGTGATTGTAGCAATACAGAACCTGCGATCTCATCAGAGCTAGTCAGTAAGTGAGACCTTACCAGGAATTTTATCCATCATAGAGTACTAATAGCCCACACTTTCTGATATCGTAAACCACATACATATCTAAGGCTCGGCATGGAACACGAGGTTCCTCATTGAGCACATCACTATATATAAACAGAGACTAATCGACAATTCATCTGCACATACCATCCAGGTGCGTTGTGTGATCTCCTGTGGGCCGATCCCCTGGCCGACAGTTTGGCCGAGCGACTGAATGCAACTGACTATGAGGAGTTCCTCGAATTAGACTACCTGCCTAATCCACCCAGAGGATGCTCTGTCTTCTTTGCGTACGATGCTATTAAAACTTTCCTGGATACCAATCAGTATGTCGAAGTTGTAAATATATATATATATATATTATACATATATATATATATAAATATATAAGTGTGTGTGTATGTGTGCGTATATACATATATATATATGTACTATATATATATATATATATATAAGTGTGTGTGTGTGTGTGTGTGTGTGTGCGTGTGTGTGTGCTTATGTTTGTATGTATGTATATATATATGTCCACACTACCTACAATTTTTGTTGTACGGATGCGTGTGTGTGCACCTCATCAAGTGCTCACTCTGAAATCCGGCAATAGCAACGTTATCATTGCTATCTACCTACCGAGCTCACCAATGGGTTTTTCTAGATACAATTATGTTTATCTGCATTTGAGTACGTACACTTGAGTCCCCCTATCCTTCGTGGTGGTCACTTCTCTACACCCCTGTCCTAGCACCTATGTGCGCTTCAAGTTCGCACATACTTGTACCAGCAATCAGAATCATGTACCTCGACTATCTTTATTTGTTCTGCGAGAGAGTCTATAGTGCCGCTGGACACTCTTGTAACGCATCTCATACTGCTGGCATTCATTTTGTTGGGTTTAAGGTTGCGGCAACATCGCACCTATGAGTTGCCGAGTTGTGCATAATATGGCGAATGACGTGCGCCTGGATTTCCAAGTGTGTTTGTTTGAATAGTCGGGACTTTGCAATTGGGACAGACCAACAGGATCTTTCTTTCGTATACGAACAACACATACCTGTTCTTATGCAGGTTAGGCACTACGAACAGCATACACATGCGTGTTGTAAGGATACACACATGTGCGTGTTATAACGATACGCACACATGTGCGTGTTATAAGGATACGTACACATGTGCGTGTTATAACGATACGTACACATGCGCGTGTTATAAGGATACGTACACATGTGCGTGTTATAAGGATATGTACACATGCGCGTGTTATAAGGATACGTACACATGTGCGTGTTATAAGGATACGCACACATGTGCGTGTTATAAGGATACGTACACATGTGCGTGTTATAACGATACGTACACATGCGCGTGTTATAAGGATACGTACATACGTGCACATGCGCGTGTTATAACGATACGTACACATGTGCGTGTTATAAGGATATGTACACATGCGCTTGTTATAAAGATACGTACACATGTGCGTGTTATAAGGATACGGACACATGCGCGTGTTATAAGGATACGTACACATGCGCGTGTTATAAGGATACGTACACATGCGCGTGTTATAAGGATACGTACACATGTGCGTGTTATAAGGATACGTGCACATGCGCGTGTTATAACGATACGTACACATGTGCGTGTTATAAGGGTATGTACACATGCGCTTGTTATAAAGATACGTACACATGTGCGTGTTATAAGGATACGTACACATGCGCGTGTTATAAGGATACGTACACATGCGCGTGTTATAAGGATACGTACACATGCGCGTGTTATAAGGATACGTACACATGTGCGTGTTATAAGGATACATACACATGCGCGTGTTATAAAGATACGTACACATGTGCGAGTTATAAAGATACGTACACATGTGCGTGTTGTAAGGATAGGTACACATGTGCGTGCTATAAGGATACGTACACATGCGCGTGTTATAACGATACGTACACATGTGCGGGTTATAAGGCTACCATGCACCACAGGGCGTGCGCATGTGTATACTCGCAATCCGTACAAAGCAATAGCCTGAAAGCCTCGGCCATTTCAATATTAGCGTCCTCCCGCTTCCATTCAACTGCCCTATTGAACCGTTGCCTCCCACCTTCCATGCCCCAGGGTAGACGGCATTATCCGAGCCCATCAGGTGGTGCAGGATGGGGTGGCGTATCACTACAAACGCCTGCGTGATTCTCCTGAGGACTTCGACTTCCCGATGGTCACCACGGTGTTCAGCGCGAGCAACTACTGCGGGACGTATATGAACCTGGGTGCGGTGCTGCATCTGTCGGCTGAGCATGGGCTTAGAGCCTCCCAGCACGAGATGGTGGAGGTGCAAGGTATGTTAGATGCGTGAGTGTGTGTATGGCAGCTGTGGTTTATGCTGGACTCCAGCGTAAATAGATCTGATAGTTATAGCCTTCTATGAGATCTGTAGTATCGAGTTAGTTCTATCACCGATTTCGGAACTCGCCTGCACCTGCGCGTAAGGAGTACAGATCGAGAGCCCTGTCCTGGATGATGGGGCCTGCGCAAGAAAAGAGAATCCAACCACCAGCAGACACGCATAGAGCGCATACGTTTAGAAAATCGCTACCTATATACTACGGTAGTACAATGTGTGTGTGTGCGTACCTATACCCACACTACTACGGGTCGGCTTGCGGAAGGATGTGCACGTGGCTCAATGTGATCTGGTTAGCTAGAGTGTTGGCCTCAGTATCAGTACCCACACTCGCAGGCAGAGTATGCAAATACCAAAGTTGGCTGCCAAGATAATACCAAAGTTAGCTGCCAAGATAGATGACAGTTGTGTGCTGTAGTGTACTCCATGTATTCGTGTTTCCCCACGATTCTGCCACCGCAATCTCCAAATAACTGTGATTTTCTCCTGTTGTGTTTAATAACATGTTGCCAATTCGATTGGTATTTGGGGTGTCTATAGCCACGAGCTCCAAATAACTGTGATTTTCTCCTGTTGTGTTTAATAACATGTTGCCAATTCGATTGGTATTTGGGGCGTCAATAACCACGAGCTCCAAATAACTGTGATTTTCTCCTGTTGTGTTTGATAACATGTTGCCAATTCGATTGGTATTTGGTGTGTCTATAGCCACGAGCTCCAAATAACTGTGATTTTCTCCTGTTGTGTTTAATAACGTGTTGCCAATTCGATTGGTATTTGGGGCGTCAATAACCACGAGCTCCAAACAACTGTGATTTTCTCCTGTTGTGTTTGATAACATGTTGCCAATTCGATTGGTATTTGGTGTGTCTATAGCCACGAGCTCCAAATAACTGTGATTTTCTCCTGTTGTTTTTAATAACATGTTGCCAATTCGATTGGTATTTGGCGTGTCTATAGCCACGAGCTCCAAATAACTGTGTTTTCCTACTGTTGTGTTTAATAACATGTTGCCCATTCATTCGGCAGACGCCGCGCTGCGCAAAGCGAACTTCAACAAGGCCACGATCCAGGATCAACGGAGGTATGTAATGCCCTGCACCTGCCCTTTACTATTTTGGGACTGGTCCGGGTGAGATGTCCCCGTGAAATCTCATCTCTGTGGCATTTATCGTCGTTGTTTAGCACATAGAAACGGTGCGCAGGCACTTCGGAATCCTCACACGATTGTGAAGACTTCATTCAATGTCTTAAGTTGCCGTATGAGACCCACTGGACCTGTTGTGTGTACCAGTTATGGACCCAGAGGAAGTCATGTACCTCCCCCCATGTTCGTAGTAATGTATTAGTAAGATTGCTGTTCGGCTATTTCATACATGGGCATTGAGAATATATATATATATATATATATATATTTAACATATGAGCTCACCGCCCTTATGTTCGTATTAATGTATTAATACGATTGCTGTACGGCTGTTTCATACTTGGGCAGTGAGATTCATCCTGGGTGGAGCTCACTACGTCGGGCTGTCACCACACTCGCCACGTTCCGAAGCATGACGAAACAAAGCTCACTAAGTTCGCTGAAAAAGGTACTGTACACACGCCGTCCTGTAAGACGGTCATTAAACACCCTTCAACGGGGCGTGTCTCTATGGCTGTGAATGCAAGAGTGTAACTATAAATATATGTGTGGTGGATCGAGGTTGGGCTAAAACTAGCAGTAGGTACAATTGTGAGTATCCATGCGCACGTTTTCTCAAACTCGCTGGAAGGGCACGATCGGTTTGTACTGAATACAGTATATGGTGTTCCGTCGCGTTGTTGACTCTGCTGGTGTTGTGGTATACGGAGTGGACGCCAATCATAACTGCCCTCTAGAGATACGTGTACTTGTATCGGCTTCAGGAAATAAGTGAGCTGCCTGATCTTCTTTGTTCTACGCACGCGTGGAGGGACTCGTGTGGTGGTAGTTGCGGTTGACTACACTTGTGTCCCATCCACGATGGTGCCCAATTGAACTCTTGCGCTATCCGGGGTTTGTCTAGTATGTACTGTGATATGTGCTCAGGATACCGGGGCGCGGGGTATAGTGATACACACACGTTGCAAACTCTCAGTGTTTCTGATCAATATCTACATCTGTGTGTAGAGGTGTCCATGCAGTCTACCTATAGCTAGAACCGTCCACAGATGTGAGACTGCCCTGCATAGCTGTGTCCCGAAATCCTACCAGGAAAGCAAAGTGAGATAGAATACAATAGTTTCTGTGCGTGAATGTACAACTATATCTTGTGCTGCTTGTATATGTATGCACGTGTGTTCATGTTCTGCTTGTATATATAAGTACGTATATATATGTCCTGCCTCCATGTACAAGTACGTATATACTTGTCCTGTTAGTATATGTAAGCACCTGTATTCATGTTCTGCATATAAGTACGTATATCTATTTCCTGCTTCCATGTATAAGTGCGTATATTCATGTCCTGCTAGTATATGTAAGCAATTGTATTCGTGTTCTGCGTATATATATATATATATATAAATATATATATACATATATATATACATAAGTACGTATATTCGTGTTCTACTTGTAGGCACGTATATTCATGTTGCTTCTTGTATTCGGTTCCTGTAGAGTGCAACAGTCGCGCTCCGGACCTCAAACCAGGATGCAGACAATGCTATACAGAAGATAGACACCGCTCCTGAATTCGACGGCAAGGGCAATGGTACAGCCGTCAAGGACAACAACAAACACACAGACAACCCCACAGACACGGGCGGGCTTATGGGCACCATATTAACCAGGAAGGATAACAACAAACACACACACAACCTCAGAGATGCAGGCAGGCTTACGGATATCATATTCCCTGAGGATCTGTCTCAGCTACGATACGTTTTCGATTCCATTGATGTCAACGGAAATAACAGCCTGGACATGCGGGAGCTGTATGAGTTCGTGCGCCTGGTGCGATCGGATTTCAGTGTGGCACCGAACGCCATGGAAGATTTGTTCAAACGCGTAGATGCGGATGAAGATGGCCAGGTGTGTCCATTCGCATTGTGGGTGGTGCGAGCACAGACGTTCAGCAATACGTTATGCATGCGTGTGAGTGCACAGATGTGCTGTGGGTGGTGTGGTCGGATGAGCCAGATATGTTCAGGTGGTACGTGTATGCCGTTTCACTGCATAGCACTTCACATGCATGTGTGTGTTGCAAAATCGTGTTTGCCAGGGTTTGGCTTTTGTGGTTTGATTGCAAATCGTGTTTGCGAGGGTTTGTGGATCCGATTCTGGGGCGAAGCAGCCGTTACACTCGTCTGTACCAACGTACTGATGGCTCTATCCGCATTTGCGCATCTCTTGGCCACCACAGATTGACTTTGAAGAGTTCGCTGCCTTTGCCACAACTGCACTACGGACTCGTAGTGACTCACCGGTGGATACCACGGGCATAACCCTAGACCCTGTGAATGGTACTACCTCCGGTGCGGAAAAGTTAAACCCAACTACAACACAGGGGCAGCAGTCCGTACCGGAGAAGCAAAGGAACCCCTTGGCGTCTGCGCCTTCGATGGATGTTGCTGCCGAGCGATCGAAATCCGTTAGTATCTTAGTCATGGTATGTGGGATGGGGTAGCCGAGAGTGTTGTACTGCACTTTGATATGTCAGGTATTTAAGTGTCGTGTTTATTATAAGTAAGGATTGTATGCTAGATCACTTTCTTCTTCATATACCGACGTGCCAGTTTAGATAAACCGTTTTGCTGCGCGTTTACTGATTTGGCTTTTGAAGTGCATCCCCCATTGTGTGTTGGTATTGACTCTGACGTTGCACACTTGTCTGCACCAATATTTAGACTCAAGATTACGAACTTAAGCCTCCATAGCATCGTAAGAAATGTGAACAACTTAAGCCTTCTGTTATACATATGTGCATAGCTACCGCGATGTACTTCGAGCACGAAATACGAATCTGATTGTTTGCTATTCTCACGCACTTCTTTCGTAGGGTACACTTCCAAAAACTGCAGCGCTCGGGTGATGTGTCGATACTTCCCTAGCCATCTTGGTTGCACAAGCACTATGATTTTACCATAGGCTACGTCGTGGATAGTTGCTGCCGCACATATAAATATATAAATAAACATAAATATATAACTGACCGTGAACTTCTGTCATGCTCACGTCAGTTCAGCGGATAGAGGTATGTATACTACGCACATTATTATGTATTCCACTGCGTCTGCGAGGATCTTCTAGGCTCTGATGTGCTTCACGCACGCATCGCTGTGTCCAACTTCCATGCACAAGTGTATGTAAATCACAATTAGATTTCGAATGAATAGAGGGCCTCGACACCTATATTTTTATTTCTATTTTATAAATCGCATACGTTCATTATTTCTTACATCCGATTCAATTCTTGCTCTTCCTTTATAAACTTTAAAAAAATAGAACTATCATATGTGATTTTAGGGTGCAAGAATTGAATATCAACATTGTCTGTAACACAAAAAGTTGATATATAATGGTCATCAAGCTTAACAGACAATGGATGAGATTCTTATAAAACATATATTTATTTATTAGTTTCTAATGCTCTTCATTTTATATACAGCATATGGATAGGTGTGAACGTATCCCTT